TTTTGTTATGTTGCATGGTTCATGGACAAACTAAAACCTACACTGTACATCTATGACCACTTGACAACTTAACTGCTAATTTCTCCTCTGCTTCAATCCCCAACACCTCTCTGCTCTGAGTGCAGCCACCGTCACTCTGTCATTCAACCACACACACACTCACACAAACTACAAACAAACACTACGCTATACTTATCACTTGACGATAGGTGAACCATGGTTCAGTCTGATCTGGATTGAGACCACCTCTTTCTGTTGGACCAAGGTTTGACTGTGTGGTCCGTTCTGTGATCGGGAAAGTTTTACACCTATTATTTCAGTTCAGATCAAACTGAAAAGTCCAGACCAAACAAGATAGGTGTGACAGGGCCCTAACTCATCACCAGCGTGTGCTCAGAACAAATGTAACAAACACTTCTCATATGAAAATTCCCTTGATCCCATTAAAGAACAAGTCAGATGTCTCTGTGTATGATGTAAGAAGTATTATCCATACCACTGGAGTAGGATTCTACTCCCTTATAGACTGTTGGGTCTTAGTTCTCATTTGACCACTACATTCAGTCCTACTCTGCATCTTGCCACTACTCAAGGGTACAACCTAATGTCTTACCATTGCAGTAAAAGGTTGAGTATGCTTTGCATCAAACTACTTACACTAGAGTTTCACCTTCTTTTCCCTTTGTACCCGGATACTGGTTTATATTCTTTCCCCAGTGGACTGATATTTCTGTTCTACAAATATGGCCACTATTCTATCAATACTTAACAATTCTAATCTCTGTGTTACAATTTAAAGAGATCTACAGTTTGTTTCATTGCTGTTCTTGGGTCTTAGTCCCTGGGGCGCTAGAGAAAAAGGTCCAAGGGGGACTGAAACCCTTGGGGGTGCTACCAATAATTCAGATTCTAACCTCTGTTCTCCAAGCATCTAGGATTGTAGCCCATAGCCTACAATGTCAGCAGGGTTCTAGGGCAATATTCAAGGAGTATTATGTATTTGTCATAGGGTTCTTGTCTCTGCTCTATCCCAACAGAAGGGTTCCAGTCCATTACAGAGCACACAGTAGGCTTTGGTCTTTACTATATAATTGCTCTAGGTTTCTAGTCAAAGTTAAACCTCTACAGAAGGGTCTGTAGTACCGGTTGTACCCACATAATTGGGCTTTATCTCCTATGACTACAGAAAGACACTCAGAGGGGGAGGGATAAGTCCAGATTCTGTTAGTCAAGATCTAGTCTCTGTTCCACCATTACCATTTAGAGAGGTGTCCTGTTCCTACAAATACAGTAGTTTCAGACCCTGTTGTACCACTAATTTTGGGTTTACCACTATAGGTTGACTTCCTGTCCCTACAGTGAAGTTTAATCTCTAATGTACTACAGTTTTGGGGTTTTAGCTCCTGTTCCACAGCCACAGTGGGGTTCTTGTCCCTGTTCGACCAGTAACAGAGGGCTGTTGTCCCCTGCATGGTGGAGGTCATGGGTTCCATCATTCATGTCTTATGATTGCACTTCCCCCTACCTGATTCCTCCCTGCTACTGTCTGGCCCAGTGGCCCACCATCAACCCCTAGCCCCCTCCAGCCACAGTCCTGTAACCTTCCATCCCTTTTATACACTGACAGTCCATGAAATGTCTTCCCTTAACATCGGCGGTGGTTTATAAAAATGGAGGTTCAACAATAACATTGTTTCTAATGGTGACGGTATGTCATACCTGTAAATGATGTTTATCTGTCATGCCTAGTCAAATAATTTAAACAATAAAAAGAGGGATTTTTTAAATGTCTATAATATCTGAAAGTCCCTTTGATGTGTAGTAATGGTGTTACCGTTGTTGTAGTGTATGTGATACCCTACTGGGATTGTGTTACTTTTTAAGATAATAAAATAACAATGTTTGGTTATACCACTGTTGTGTGTTTTAATGTGATCAACATTACTGCCTTATGAGAACACAATACAGCAGGAATTGGAGCCCAGTTTGAAAAAGGAGTCTAAAGATGGACAGCAGAACAGGGCTATGGGGGGAGAGAACTTAGGACCCTGTGTGTTTGCTCAATGTGCAGCTGGTCTTGTGAGCGCAGTATTCCAAGAACACCTTGAAGGAACTTCTTTGTATTCTGCACAAACGTAGACTCAACAATGACCTGATTAGATATTTGGTGGTTGAAGGTCAAATTCACTGTCACCTCACAAAACATGTTTTTGGGTTAGGATTAGGGTTAGTAAGTAAGTAATAGTAAGTAAACTGAAACTACAGCTTGACTGGTTTGCAGAGGCACACACCCATGAGGCAGTAATTCTAGTCATTACATACATTTATCTAATATCCAGTAGGTGGGATACATGTTCAATATGATGTTTGTGGTGCTAATGGTGTCAACATTTCTTCTCCAGCAGGCATCAAACTGAGGTCTGAGAGGTGTGTTACATATTATCAAATGAGTTGCCATTTAAAGATGTGTGTTGAATGATAGAGTGAGCCGAAAGTCCTCAAAGTGATGAAGGTAAAAAGAAAATGTTATGTGCCAGACTGTTCACCTCGTAGAGATGTGGCTTAAAGTGTGAATAGAATGACTTTCAATATAGTTCATTTGGTAAAGAGGAATTAAAATGATCAACAGTTCAAACTGTGTTATGCATCCTCTAGGTGCTATAGCCAAATCCATAAAAGAGTGCTTGTTGTTTTGTAAAAGTAGGGTAGGAAAGATGACATTTTATTTCCACTTGCACCACTATACATTGTTTCAGCTGTGGTGTTTTTAGTCCTGTATAATGGGATTTCAAACACCAACTGTGTGTGATCGACACAGGTGATTAACATATATCATCTAAAACTATGATAATTAGTATGTATTACACAGTGATAGAAGAAGTATCCAGTATCCTTCACTTCAGTAAAAGTAGAGGTATTACTATGTTAAAAGTACTCCATCACAAGTAAAAGTCCTGCATTCAAAGTTTTACTGAAGAAAAATTCACAACAAAATCCTTAGCAACACATACTTACCGTATTAAAAATCAAAGCAGTCACTAATGGACACTTTGAGAATGTGATATTATTAAATTTGTATCTAGTACCCACTGTTTATACAATTGGTTTAGAAGGACACATACTATCTTGGGAATTCCTCAATAAAAGATTAGCCAGACACTTAACTCAGAGTCTGACTGATTCATTTTGGCCAACAATCACACAAACCAGCTGCTGCAAGAGCTACTACCATCATCATTACTGAAATAACCCAGTAGCTGGTGCTGTTGTACTACAATCAATCACAGTACATTACAGGACGCAACACGTGGTGCAAGCAGGCAACAGGCTGCTGGAGCTGCATGTTTGTCAGCCCACAGAACAGCTGCAGGCTGCTACAGGACCATGGTGCCAAAACAAAGCAAACTGCTGAAATGAATGCTGGGTGAATATGTCAAAAATATATAATGCAAACACCCAAGCAGCTCCATGAACCTTCACTGGTGAGTTTCTACATGTGTAGGCAATTTCAGAAGCATTAACATGAGCCAGGACGAATTTCACTGATTTTTTTAATGAACTCTTTTTTTTTTTCCTTTCTAAAATGCTGTTGTGTCTGGGGTGGAATTCATATGTACATAGTTTAAGAAAAATTACACTACACTGAAAAAACAATATCTGCTCTATTTTTCTGCATTACTGAGATTATTATCTCAGAATTACGAGAAATGTTTTCATGGGTAAAATTCTGCCCTTATTTTCTTGAATTAAAATAATCTTGTAAATCCTTGTTTTTCTGAAATAAAGAGATTATAGTCTCTTCATAATCTGGTTGCTGGAGGAGCCAAATGCCTTTAAACAGATGAAGTGGATGCTGGCTTTGGTCTGACTCTGAGGAGCAATAACCTCATGCTAAAGATGAAATGATACAGACTGTTTATTCGATCACTCCAGTTACACACTGCTGCACAACTGTTGATTGTCAGAGCTGCACATAAATGCTTTGATGCATGCGCTGAATGATCCCTTTGTCAAGTGTAATGTTGATGGACCATCTCCACTGCATGTCTCACCTCAACCCCTAACCTACACTAAACATGAAATTATCACATGCAAATGATTTCATCCAAATCTTATCCAGCTATATTCAACTCTCAACACCAACAGCTCACCCATAAATGAAGACAGACAAAATGAATTCTTTAGAGGTTTTCTCGTTTCTTCCTTTCTGCTTTGATAAAACGATGCAACCTCAAAATATAAAGCCTCCTTCCTCTTTCTGCTGTGGTTATACTGTAAACTGCAAGGTTATTCTAGCTGACTAAAATTAAACTGAAAGCTGAATTTAAGTGTTAAAATTTTTTTTAGTTAACCAAAAAAAAAAAAAGAAAACTAGACTTAAGAAAAAAAAATTAAACTATACGATAAACTACAATATTGCATATTAGCAAAACTAACTAAAATAAAACAAAAAATCTAAAGGAAATATCTTTAGCTTTAGTCTTTGTCAGTTTGGTCAAATTTGTCAAAACAACAAGCATGAGGGGGCATCTGTGCATGTGTCTATTGAGACTGGCACTATGAGTCAACTGCCTTCACAAACTGTTGTATTGTACAGTGTTGGGCAAGTTACTCAAAATGTAATTCATTACATATTACTCATTACCTTCATTTTAAAAGTAATGTTACTTTACAATATTACTGTCTGTGTGGAGTAATAAGTTACTTCTTACACTACTTCTGTGTTCTGTGCAACAAGTTGGGAATATATAGTCTGCGCAAGCACTGGCTCATCTGATTACAGTCATTCAAATGAGGCTTTCAAATACTATCAAAACCAGTTAGGCTATTGATGGAGTTTATTTCTTTAGTTGGGAGTGATTTCATGCAGGAAGTATGAAGAGAAAGGAGTCCTGATTGCAGGATAAGGTTAGGACGGACGGGGGTCAGGTTTAAAGAGGTGTTTGAGTGTGGGGACCATAGAGGTGGGGACACGACGGAGGGGTGAAGACGGATATTGGGTTTTTGAAAGCAATGAGACTGATCAGAAGACTGTAACAGGATGGGAAGATGATAATGGATGAGGAAAACCAGAGGGAGGCAGTATTGCAACGTAAAGGCTCATAGCTGCCGTAAAAGCCCGAAGAAGAGGGAGAAGAAGAAGAAGAAGCACGCGACGCCATTTCCCCTGTTTTCCATAACAACGGTGGACGCTTTCTCCTGATTGGCTGATGAACATCCTGTGTTTTCAGGCCTCGCTAACAGATGCTATTTTAAACCATACTTCCTCCGTGAGCAGTGGATTAACAGGTAGACGTACATCTTAGAAAAGGAGTAAGTCTGTAATAAGACACTTGGCTTTTGGCGGTCGTTTCACTGAAGGAATCTGATAAATATTAACAGTAGATACGGATTAAAAAAGCCGTTAGCTGCTAAAAGTTTGTAGCTGCTGTTGAACATAGCTCTGTTATCATCATTAACAACAATAAGGCTAACTGACTGTGAAGCTACCAGCTTCTCATTCAGTGATAAAGACAGGTTAATGGTCACACAGGTGTTTCTGTCCAGTCGTCAGGATGCAGCGGGGATGGACATTTGGACGCCATTTCTCATGCTGAGTAAGTTAGAAAGACCCGATGATGCTTTGAGATTGTAAAGAATCACGTCTCTTCCTCTCACCTGTTTTATTTGAGTCAAACATAAAAACTGTTTTGTCGCTCCTTATAGAGAAGGGGACCTTAGGTCTTACTGATATGAATGTTATTGTTCTTTGACACATCATAGTTACACATGAAATCAGTGCCACTGGTTAAAGAGAATTCACTATAATAGCCTATGTACGACTCCTGGAAGATTTAGTAATGGAGGAACTGTTAAAACCCTTTACTGTAGTAAACGTAGCAACAATGTAAAGATACACCATAACAAATAAGTAAGGTTGCAACATACGAGATTTTTACAATACGATAACTGTCTTATAAAATATCGCCATTTCACAGTATTAAAGAATTTATATTAATATCAGTCAGAATGACTCAAAATAATGAAAACAGAAGGGTTAGTTTTGGTTGAACAAACGTTTTATTTCTGTAATTGAACCCTAAAACCATTTTGTTAATGGAAGTATGTGTAAAAAGCCTTTGAAAACAACTAAAATCAAGGGGAGAATCAACATCTAGTTGCATTTTTTTTTCAATATAATAGATAACCCAATGTACATGGTATAATAACTGTCAACTTTTACATCACGGTATACCTTGAAAGCGGTAGCGTGTATCACTGCAACTCTACGAGTAAGTAAGTCTAACATTCAAATATTGCTTAAATACAGGTAACATTACTGTACATAACTGCCATACAAAGCCTTTCATACCCACAGTGAGAAAAACGCAATGGAATTTTTGTTTCTTTTCATTTTATATTTCCTTGAGCCATTGATAACAACAGTGTTTGGTTTTTGTTTGTTTGTTTGCAACAGACCCCATAGAGATTTAAATATAGACCTCTACCAAACACTTGAGGAGTCACTTCTTGGTAATTGTAAGACAGAAAAAATGAAAATAAAAATTATAAACCATGCACTGTAATAATGCCTGTAATAAGTCAGTATACCAACATCAGTCAGCATCAATTTGTTGCTAAAGTTGCAGTGATATACCAGTTTAAAGGTATACCGTGATAAAAAAAGTTGATAGTTATCATACTATGTACATTTGCTTATTTACGAAATTGGTGGAAAAAATGCAATTGGGCAACAACTCTCCTTGTTATTTAAGTCATTTTCAAAGGGTAGGCTTTTTACATAACTTCCATTAAAAAATATACTGAATTTTCAATTTTCAATTATAGTCATAAAACATTTGTTCAAGAAAAAAAAAACATCCATTATCATTCCTTTAAGGATCATTCTGACTGATAATAATAATGATAATTCTGTAATACTGTGAAACCACACTTCATTCTGAGGTGATTCGTACCGTGAAAATCTCATACCATTGCAACCCTATTTGTTATCATAGAATTAGTAGTATCACCAGTACTGGTATTAAGAAGTGAGGCTTAATATAATAGAATATGAAAGTAATCTTTTAGGCAGAATGTCCATCTGTGACACTTTGCTGTATTGAGTTAGAAATGAGACAACACTATCACAGACAACATATTGCCCTTAAAAGTGTTCTTTAAGCAGCATGGAACACTAATAATGTCTGTTTACAGCTTAGCCACATTATCTGGGATGGATCACAACAACCCAGAGATACTGAAAGATCCTGGTGGAGAGCCTGGTCTGACAGCAGGTGATATGTGCAGACACACACACACACACACACACACACACACACACACACACACACACACAAACAAACAAACAAACAAACAAACAAACAAACAAACACATTGGTAATGGTAATATATATACATATACACTGAACAAAAATATAAACGCAACACTTTTGTTTTTGCTCCCATTTTTCATGAGCTGAACAAAAAGATCTAAAACATTTTCTATATACACAAAAGACCATTTCCTCACAAACATTGTTCACAAATCTGTCTAAATCTGTGTTCGTGAGCACTACTCCTTTGCCGAGATAATCCATCCCACCTCACAGGTGTGGCATATCAAGATGCTGATTAGACAGCATGATTATTACACAGGTGTGCCTTAGGCTGGCCACAATAAAAGGCCACTCTAAAATGTTCAGTTTTATCACACAGCACAATGCCACAGATGTCGCAAGTTTTGAGGGAGTGTGCAATTGGCATGCTGACTGCAGGAATGTCCACCAGAGCTGTTGCCCGTGAATTGAATGTTCATTTCTCTACCATAAGCCGTCTCCAAAGGCGTTTCAGACAATTTGGCAGTACATTCAACCGGCCTCACAACCGCAGACCACGTGTAACCACACCAGCCCAGGACCTCCACATCCAGCATGTTCACCTCCAAGATCGTCTGAGACCAGCCACCCGGACAGCTGCTGCAACAATTGGTTTGCATAACCAAAGAATTTCTGCACAAACTGTCAGAAACCGTCTCAGGGAAGCTCATCTGCATGCTCGTCGTCCTCATCGGGGTCTCGACCTGACTGCAGTTCGTCGT